GTATTTTCCACTGAGCACACCATTCTGAAAGGAAAAGGACAGGAGGGAGTGTTTTGCACAGCATATAAATGACATCCCAAAAGGAGCCTGGGGGTAGAGGGCTGACAAGTTTGGGAAACATGAGAGCTGATCAGCACACATCCCCACATGCTCCACAGGAATTAAAATGCTCATTAAATTGAAAGTTTATCTTCCAAAAGGATCCCAGAACATACCTGGAGAATACAATTTAGAGAAAGACCTCTGTGGCGTAACGATGACAGAGCCCAAACTTCAGAGCACATGAAGTGGCAACAAGGAGCCGGCCGTGAGAGAGCTGGCCTTTTTCCAACAGGAATCACGGCCCGCGAGACGGCAGCTCCAAGCTGGAGATGGTGAGGAAGAACTTTGCATTAAGCTCTAGGAATAATGCAGTTTGGACCAGATTTTCTAGAATTTTCTGCTTTTGGATTATTTTCTTTCCTGAAATCAGGCTAGTTTTTAAACTTCTAAAGATTTCCCGCAACAATAATCTTATTAATAAAAGGAAGCCATACGTCTGATTTTTCTTATTTCTTAAAACTATGTTTAATCAGATCCATGAAGCATTTCAGTGATAACAATTCAGCTTTTATTTAAGAAAAAAAAAAACTACTTCAATTTGCCACTTTGGCTACCAATTTGCAGGCCAACTTTCAAACAAATCTTTTCAGCTGTAATAAACAATTAAACAAGCATGTATATCACCTGCAGCCAATCTTATTTAAAGTCATTTGGTCTTTTAAAAAGTCCTTCCTAATAATCACATCACCATGACTAAATTCCAGCGTAATTTACCACAGGCCAATACTTGTATTTCTCTTATTTTATCAAGGCAATATTATAAGTTAGCTAATTGCACAGCAACACCTACATGTGACCATATATACACCGGTCAAAGTCCCAGTGCTCCCATGGTAAAATTCCCATCAACTTCAATGGAAGAAAGCATTCATTCACGGTATTTAAGAACTTCCCAGGTCACAAAAAAAAAACAAGGCCTTTCCAAACACATCTCATGAAACCATTTATCTATCTTCTGGTTCTTTGACAGTATTTTATTTTTTCCATAGTTAAACACCGAAGAAGGTACTGCATATCAGGCTGGAAATACTAGTCCATCAAAAAACAAAGCAAACCCAAAAGTGTATTTTATGATTGATTTCCTAGTGATCTGTACCCCACCTGCATTCAGCAAGGGAAAAAAAAAATATTAAAAGTATCACTATACATACAGAAATATCTATTCTGCCCCTTAAGAAAATAAAGTAGCTATAGCGTGCAATAACCTCTTAGATGTGCACAAATTACTCTATAAGCATCAATGTTAACCACGCATAAAGAAAAGCCAAGTGTTTGCAAAATCCCAGAATGATATCTGACAACTGCATTACAAGTCAAAACTGCAAATAGGCAGGATAGTCGGCTGCAGCTTAGGAGACAGGTTATCATTTCTAGTATATACCTTCAGAGTTAGAGACTGGAGAAAAGTCAGCCACAGAAGTCTTCAAGTCAGCATTTAGTTCACTGCTCTCACCTCAAAGTGTCTCTAGTTAAACCATTCCCCAACGTGATTCTTGTGCAAATCTTTGTCAGAATCCCTCACTCCGTGATGAGGGTAACACATTCCTGTGTTCTCAAGAGGCAAAATTCAGTAAAAAATACTCTGAGGATATCTCTCTGTGATGAATGCTCCACTAATGCACGCTGGGATGTTAACCAAACAGAGAGAGGGACAAAAAGAAAAATCAGATGCAATGTAGTTTCTAGTACAAACTCGGAATCGTATAAAGGAACAATGCTGGAAGGAAGCTCTGAAGGTCTCTGGCCCAACTGCAAGCATGGTTAACTTAAAAGCTACATTAGGTTGCTTAGGACTTTATCCAGTTTAGTTCCGAAAAGTCTTTCTGACTCTCTATTCCAGGGCTTAACTACTCTTACTGGAAAGAATTTTTTCCTCATGCCTACTCACAGTTGTTGGCATCCAGTCACTCACACTCTGAAAAATTATTTTCTCCCTGGAGCTTACAATAATGAACACAAGTGGCAATGTTTGTTTCTGATTATTCCCACCAAAAAAAAAAAAATCTAAAGAATGCGGTATGTTTAAAAAAGACCCCAATAAGTACTTTGTTATAAAGAGTATATTTAAACTTGCAGTGTTACAGCCAGCTGATAACCAAGTCAAACTAACAAATTCGATCAACTGATTTGAAAATACTTATCTACAACCACCACTCGGAGTTCATGTTTATTCTTCCTTCTGTTAATGACAGACTTTCAGATTTATATTCCTTTGCAGATTGGTCACAAATTAAAACTGAACAGTTTGGGGTCAACTGTTTTTATCCTTCAGTTAGAGTGGGACTCTATTCTTAAGAAATCATTTGAATCCTATCCAAAAACGGACACGGGAGAGCCTAAGATCAGTAAGGAAGTGCCATTTGTAACAAGTTTGTGGGACGTAGACATGTGCAGGAGATTATTTTTTTCCTTTTCAGAGTAGGGGGAATATACAATGGAATCTGTGAAACTAAAACCATGAGGAAACACGATGACAGTTTGCAAGACCTAAAACATACATAATTTCTTCAAATGACATGAGATGCATTTTGTATAAATTCAGTGAAAATAACAATCCCAAGTGAACTTGCCATTCACTAATTTTTCATCTTATTTAATAGTCTGTTTATCCCACCTCCACTCACATACGTATTTTTTTAGTTCATTTTGCCACAGCATTCCCATTCCAGAACAGCACCACATCACTCTGGTTACAGTGGGGCAGCTCAAAGGGCAGAGATTTAAAAAAACCCTAATAATAAACACCAAGACTAGGACAAATTAACACAAATGAATTGTGCAATGTGACCTTTAAACCCCTATATAACAGCGTTACCTTTCTTCTTGCATAAGTCTATTAAAACATCAAACATCTATGGTTTTCCCTCCTTTACCAGCAGCTTCTTAACACAGTACTGACAACGATATGAAAAACGACCTTACCAAATCACCATGAAATTTAAACAATCTGAAATAACGAATTATGAATGCTAAAGGCATTCATTCTTTTATGTTCTCCAACTTACAGCTCTTTTTCTGCATCTCCTTGATTTCTTGAAGACAACAGCAGAACAGATGATATTAAAAGTTCATACAAAACACCAGACATGTGCTTTCTGCACAGAGATAATACACTAACCAGTGGCCCAGTGCCTGCCTGATTCCTGCAGGAGGTTAAATTGTCCTGACCTTTACATCATTTGCCTGGCTTTTGGACAGGCTGCTGTTTGCCCCAGCTGAGAACCTGACGGTTTCTCCATCAAGGTTGCAGCAACCCATATCCCTGCAAATCCTAAATCTACACCGAAAAACAACACCCCTACCTTCTCCTCTGAGCTCCACAGCTGACCGGTCTCTTCCTTAGCCGAAAACAGAGCAGATGGGAAGCCCAGAAAGATCCTCAAGCTATCAGTAAACTGCTCCTGCTCCAGATTATCCTGCCCAAATACCTGAGCTAGAACACAGGACCAGGTACTGGGGAGAAGAGAGCAGGAAAAGTGCTCCCCCTGCTCCCTTTAAGGGAGGGCTGCTGGCCTTGTTTTCTTAATTTGAAACACCTGCAAATAGCAAGCCTATAAAATCAAGCACCTTTTACGGGGCTGCTTCTAGAATCAAGAGGTGACAAACAAATACCTTCTACAGAAATGGCTTTGTGCTCTAAAATAGCTAGATTTAAAAAAAATTTTAAATCTCAATTTTCTTCTGATGTTATTTGCTGCAAAAAGCTGAAATCAGCATTTTATCCTATTTAAATGAGTTGGCTGTGCTCTGCTCATTTCCTTATTTGGAATTTTAACCTGTACTTGGATTTCAATTTTTCTGGTAATTTAAGAGCCCAGTGTAGAAGCACATTTCTTGCTTTGAAATTTTTCTGATTAAATGTAATAGTAAAAGTTTATTTCCACTTAAATGCTACAAAACTATACTTAAAATTACTATAGTAATCATTACGGCAATCACATCCTCAGAAATGAAAATTAAATCCAGTTTTCTTCCTGCCTTTTAAATGCCTCTGGGTACAGCATGTCTCCATCAGGATAAATTGCCCTCCAAGAAGGGAGGATTGGCATTACTAAAGATTCCTGAAGCCATCACTGATAAAAGTCAAAGCTGATAAAATTATAAACCGTACTGAAGCCATGACAGAATTTCATTTAAACTATGATTTTGCTGGCGTTTCCTTAGCTGTAGCAGGAGTTTAATGAGCAGTGTCCCCAGGACAGAGAGATATACACACACATCTAATTATCCATAGTGGTACCTGTGATCTTTTCTCCAATGGAGCTACATATGCAACGTAAAGCTATGTTTACATTGCTAGCCCTTGCAGTGTAAAGCCAGGAAAGAAGGGTGGCTCCCATCTAGAAACTGGAATTAAATCCACAGCTGCTGATTTGCAGCACGCTTGTTCAGTCTAGCACATACATGACAAACCAGTGGGAAAGGGGCACCTGTCCTCGCTGGCTCAAGCAGAGATGAACAGTTTCCCACTATTTCTATTTTCTGAAGTGGCAGCGCTCTTTCACATCGTTGAAAAGGTTCTGACTTCTGCTGCCTGGGGAAAAGGGAATCTCCACCCTATGAAAAATGTGATGTCCCTGGAAACAATTACATCAACTGGGAAAGTCAAAATAGCAATCTGTTCCCCGCTGCCCGCCCCAGGGCTCAGGTGCTCTCCTGTCTAGGCTTGCTGACCCCCGCGTCTGCGGTCGGCTGCGCACCCCTCCTAGCCTGCCTCTCATCCAGCCAGTGCTCTTGGGATAAAAGTATTTCCAGCTTTTATCCAAACAGAAAGAGCCACAGAATCTGCCCTCAGCGCAATTTCAGCTCAACAGGTTCCCCAGTGCCAACAACTGGTCTTCTTGTCTCAAGCAGTAAAAAGATTTGTATCTTTTTCACCACAGAAGTTTTCCACCAGATCATGTTTTAATGTTTTTAATTAAAAAGTGTCATTTCTGGAGAAGATTTAAAACACAGCAGTAAGAAAGCATCACACAAACCAACACTGAGTAGCAAAGAAGTTTTTCTGTATTTAAGCTTTTAAAAATAAATCCTCTATAGACTGCCCAGTGCAATGTAAAAAAAAAAAAAAAAAAATTACACACCTGTATCATAAAATGACACTTATCTTTCTTCAACTGCACAAATTGATTTACTTGCCATTACTCATGAATTCTTCCCAGGTTCTGAGGGCAACACAAAGGGACCATTTTGCCCACGAACGTATGTGAGTGTGGCACCCGCTGCCATTCCCGAGTGAGAACACAGTGTTTACCATGTTAATGTCGGAAGCTGGGTGTCCACAGAAGTATTAGCAAACATATTTCTGCATATAAAGTTATGGATGTGCATTTACAGAAACATCATTTCCAAAGCCACGTGGCTAATTTAGGCAGCAACAAGTCATGCATATTTAAGTTACAACATCTGTGAACCAAATTTGAGATGTGTGAAATACATACGTTATGGAGTGCCTGAAAATTACGTCTCTCAAATCAAGTAATACTCTTGTGAGTTCCTCAGTGAGCACTTCAGACAGATATCTGAAGAGCAAATCTAGCAGATACTTGAATCTATTTAATCAAATACAAAGGTTCTACTATAAATTAATGTTAAGATTGCCTATGCGGTCAATCATTAGTCATGACAAAATTATGCACTCAGGTGAATTTTAGCACTATTTTCTCTAATAATCAGCACATAATCCTTTTCCTACAGAGTTAGCATTTAACATTGGCCTAAAATACAATGCAAGCAGAAGCATACAGGCTTTTACATACACAAAAAGCAGCAAAGGGTAAAATTGATACTCACTCTTAAATTCTAGATTTCTTCAGCCAAGTGCCTATTTGTGCAGCATTAACATTGCATTAATAGTTCTTGCATATTAATTTTTCTAGAAACGATAGTCCCAAACTTTGCAATAACAAACGTATTGATGTATCAAGATGACTAGAACTCATCCTTAATATCCTCCACTATTGGAATTCTATTACGCTAAAAAATAAACCTCTGGCGACACCAAATCCTTTCATATACCCAGGTTGCTGTCTCTATTGTTAATTTTAAAAGATTATCACTAAAATCAAGCATACTATTTTTGCACTTCAGTGGAATTCAATTTTTTTTTTTTTTTTATTCCAAACAGTTCTTTACCAAATGCATTCAATGTTTAAATTATGAGCAGATTTCTTAACTTTTCAGTATGGCAGACAGGGATAAAAAAAAAAATAAATATTCAGTTTAATGATGAAAAACAAGCACACAGAGACCTCCTCTCCCAAAAGGTCTTTTGGCAGTTGCAGAGAACCTGCAGCCCATTTCTCTGCGCCTGAGCCCTCTCTCTGGGCAGGGCTCCAGGGTCTCCCTGGCACTCCCAAACACTCTGGAATGGCATTTGTAGTGTAAACAAATGTCAGCACTTAGATTATTGTAAATTATTTACAGTAAACTCTTATAAGGCTATAGGGCACTTTAAGGCCTTGTTAAGATTGCAATAATTATTCCCAGAAACTGAATTACAGGAGCACCTAGCGCTTAGAGGCAAAACCAGGAAAAATACTGTGACCCAAAACGTGGAAGTCAACTTGCTTTCATTTTACTGAGGAATTCCCCGTTGAGCAGAGAGCAAACCCAGAATGATTTTCCCCACAAGAAAAAAGTTCAAGTACCCCGTAGATCATGTAGCAAAAAGATGATGTTTAATGAGCAAAAACATCGACTGTACTTGTTACTATGTCTGACAGCAAGATTAATACTATAGATATGTTACCTAGAGACGGTCAGTGAACAAAGTAAAAATTTCCTCAAAACATCCTCAGCATCTTGGCCTGTTGGATGGCACAGCAATGGTCATCGGAACCCAGAGCTTGGGAAACCTTGACTTAGACAGCAAGAACTATATTGCATCGGCAAGGAAAAAGTGTTTCCATCCAATTTTTGTAACTACGCAATTACCTGTCAACGAATCACAGACTGACTTTTAGACATTTTTATATATTCTAAAAACATTCTGTAGGCAATTTTAGAATGTAAACAAAACCAAAACCATTTCAAAATCTGGTTTTCCAACTGCTAAATATATTTAGGGATGTAAAATAGTAAATAATGAAGCCAATATTTATGTAAAAAAAAAAATCCCAATTTATAGTTACTTGAGTTTTTCAGAGAACAGTTTTGAATCTCTTTTCAAGATTAAGTTTTAATCATCCCTCCTTCCTGAAAAATATTCCAACAGTTAATCGTAATTTTAACCATCTCATTTAAGATGAGAAAAAGCCACTAGAAAAAGAAAAGAACAGTCTATCTTCTTCCTAATCAAACCAGTACATTTGCAAATGAATAAAATAGTTTAGAAGAAGAAAAAAGTGAAATGCAATTCTTCATCCTTGCTAGGTTGAACCCTTAGCTGTGCTGCAGTACCTTAGGCTGTCAGAGGAATTTTATGAAAATGGTGGGGAGTTGGAAGAAACACAATCGGGCAAACAGGAACAGCTGAAATTTGTTAGGATTTCGGATCACACAAAGCCATACTGAGAAATCATGTAACTTCAGTATCCGCTGGTGTCTACAATCTTTGCAGTGCAAAGAACGTATGCATTAATGAAGTTACCAGTGCAGCCACTGTAAGTCTGACTTATTAAAGACTGTGTTTAGGCCAGTCTATAACAGCTCGATCTATCAGAGCCCTAGCAAGCACTGTTCTGTGCCAGAAGGGGTGAAAGTTCACACAAGCAGTTTATTTATTCTGGTCTGCAACACAAGGTTTATAAAGGAAAACAAAGAAGGTTTTAGTACATCTAACTGTAATCTAATCTCTATTATTTGTCATCTAAAAGATAAGGAATTAAATGGTCAACCTATGCAAATAAACCTCATTAAACCCCCCAATACTGTAATGGAAAATAGAATCTTGGCCCAAGCTTTTCAAATGGGGATGGCAGAGCTACCTAACAATGATATCCAGAGGTCTGGGAAGATCCACCAAGGACAACGATATTTCTGGGAGAAACTTCTGCAAATCAAGAGAGAACACAGTAGACTTCTCTCCTTATTTACACCAAATGCCCACTTACAATTTTTATGATAACGTAGCTGCTTGACCTTAGCTGCAATTTCAAAGTCATGGTATTACCACCACTTTGCAAGGAAATAATCCCTGTGAGGGTGGGGGGGAAAGGATTTCTGATTTAGGTGCTCAAACAATTCATCATTTTTAGACAGAAATTCTACATCATTTTACACTGTTCTAAAATCTGAGTGAAACCACATTTTACAGAAGATATGAGTATTAATTTGTATTATTGCCAATAAAAATGATAGCTCTGATCAAGAGAAAAAAAAAAAAACCTCTTTCATACATGTTCTCTATGAAAACCATAACTAAAGATAAGCTTAAATACACCTGTTGATCAAGACAAGAAGCTCCATGTTGTTTATGCACAATGAAAAACAGTTTACAAAAGTTTCCATTGAGATTCCTGCTGGCACATCATCCATCGAAAGTTCCTTTTTATCTCACCTGGGAAAGTGGTTGTCTACACTTTTCTCTGCTGACAAAACATGCCAAGTGTATGTGCATTTTCATCACAAATTAATGAATGATAACAACTGGAGTTCACTCCACTGCCTAGTCAACCAGTGGGTTGTTGTGGTTTGGTTTTTTTGAATACAGCAGGCCATATGAAGTATCTTCACTAAAATATCCAAGGACTTCATGATGTACACGTCTTTCCACTGTCCCCTTACATTTTCTGGAATTAAGAAGTATCAGCAGTTTCTCCTGGTGCGTCATGCAACAGTCTTCTAACAGGTTCCTGTGGCCCACAGAAAGGTGGACCCTCTCACGCAGATTCGACGGGAGGGTGCTGCATCACGACAACGCCACCATCACGACTGATACAAGCACTGCAATGTTGACTGTCCTCCTGCTGCCATCTGAAGTTCTCCGGGCGTGCAATACAGCAAACACTGCATTTGTGTGATTGGTTGGTATTTCTACATTGCAAATCATGCCTTCACAGCAAGAAACACATTCCTGTTGAGAAAAAGGAAATCACTGGACATTGGGTAATTCAGCAGTGGCTTTTACAGACGTATATTCTTTCAACTGGTTGCAGAGGTTACAGCTAAACACTCATCACTTCCACCTGGCAGCCTGACCCGAGGCACGCAGCAGACCTGCTACGACTTCTCTTCCAAACCACTCAGCACAGCCTTCCTAGAACAACTCAGCACCCACCGCTGTCACCGGGCTTCGAAACCGCGATGGGATGCGATACTGCCGTGCTAGCAGTGCTGACAGGCTCACTAACATTGTAGAAAAACATGAGCTAAAAGCATGCATGTGAACGTTTCAAGTTTCAGCTTTTTAAGGTAAAAAATTCTGACTGCAAAAACTCTGTTCCCATTCAGGTTTCCCCTCGAGCTTTTCTATTCACTGTAGCTTTGCGTGTTGAACTTCAGACTTTCTTTTTTCAGTTTTCTACTGCCACATAACTGCTGCCACAGCTTATTTTCAGGAGGGAATCTGAAAAACATTTTCCTTACTTGACGCTCCTTACTAGAGAAGCCAACAGAATGCCAGTTTTTATCTAGTCCAAAGGCACAAGAACTCTTCTAAGATAAGATGCAGCAGAAGGCAAGCTGCACAGTGCTTTCATGCCCTCAGTCCACCAAAACTTGTTGAAATCAATGGAAGCCAATTCAGATAACACACAGAACGTTTTATACTTAACATGGACGTTGTCTGCTTCGTTTTTGGTGTCTGAAATTTTCATGTTAAAAATAACGTAACGAAACTTCTCAACTATTAAGGAATTAGTGGAATAATACTTTACTGCAGTGAATAATGCTTAGGTGGGATATGCTTGATTATTAAGAATAAACTTTAACCTAGCATCCCAAGGATGAGAGGACTTCTAGCTTTTTGTCATGGAACAAAAGCTCAGTTGTATCTTGCTTAAGAGTACGGCCTTCCTGGACAAATATAGTCTTGCTCTGTGTACCTTGCAGTCTCATCCAAGCTATGGTATGCAGAGACAGGACTGGAGCACCTAACTCCCAGTCTGGCTCGCCCCAGGGCTGGCAGCGACACCAGCATCGGTGCAGGTTGCACAGCCTACCCAGGAACCTTACTCAGAACTCAGAAACCAAGCCCCACATGCTGGCTGCAGCACTAGCAACGCCCCAGAAAGCTCAGGTGTTTTTTTAGGAGTTGTTACTACATCCTGTCACACACAGCAACACCAAGAGGAAAGTAGGAAGGAGGGGGTAGTCATGCTTCTGCTGCAGAAATTTGACTTCTATTGTTAAATACTGGAGAGTGTATCTTGGCACATCTGCCTCAGCTCAGCAGGAAAAACAAGTACTGAAATGCAAACCTCAAAACCAATGTGCTGCTCTTACACAAAGAGTAGTGCTTACTGTGTGGCCACTTTCTCTGTGATGGTGGCAGCCTACAAAATGGCATTCTTCTCCAGTAGCACATTTTTTGGTGACTGATGTACTCTTCCCATGGTCTGTGAAGAGATGAACTGTCAAACAGTACTGAGTACCTACAAAGAAAAATTTAAAATGTTTATTTGCATAAAGTATGCGTTCTTTTACAGGGTTTAAAAACTTAAGACAATTTACCAAAATATTCCCATCGAAATGAATTATTTTGGCTGTATAAAGCCATTTTTCTACTTGATCAAAATACCACCTAGCAAGAAATTAATTAGTGATGAAATCTTAAGCTTAACTGACCCTTCAACCTCCAGAAAGGCTGCTATAATTTAAACTACTTGTAAGCACTATAATCTACACATTTATCTTCCATTCTCTACTCTTTTCGGCAGTACATTCTTGCTTTCTTTGTTTCAGACATGTTTCCTCATTCCTCTAGTTTATTTCTTCTGCTTTCCCACTGTTAATGTGAATACCACTGCAAAGAAAAATGAGGAAACACACTTCCAATTCCTTTCTATGAATCTCACTCTCTCACACAAGTAGGATCCCTATTCGTTCAGGTCTTGCTGCCCACAAGCAAGCATGGAGCCTACAGAGAGGGTTGGATCTCAGGATGGTACCCAAAAAGAAAGGGATGAGGCTACAGAGGCAATTCGTCAGTGTTTTTAAACAACATCTTTAAAATTAATTCCTAGGAAGTACATAGGTGTATATAGACACACACAAACACATATATAATGAATTAATATAGTCTTGATATATTGATAATACATTAATTACTTTATTAATAATGTATTGTTACATATTATAGGAAATGTTTTACACATAATACATATAGATATAAATAATTTTTCAGTGTTGCTTTGGACTCCAAAATGGTCAAAATATTCACCTCAGCAGAAATGGTATGACTCAGTATTACTAATAACATAACTGAGGACATCATTGTGTTGGCATGTTAATCCTACTCAGACTTCTATAAGATGTCTGAGTCAGGGAAAAGCAACTTTAGTTATCAGAAAGAATCTCCTTAGTACAGACGCACTTACTTTCAGGACACCATCTATCTTCAGCCCATCTGTTACAGTTGTAATTGTCCACTGCATTATCACAAGTAAAGCACTTAAAACTGTTTGGAAATGGAGTGGCTTTAAAAGTATTAAAATATAGTAAGTTTGCAAGTATTAAGAAAAAAATAAAATATTCAAGATAATACTGTAAATGCTGTACACACATATACCTACAAAACCATATCACATACATTTACATACTTTCAATGATACATCACTGTTAGACAAATAAAACCCATGAAACAAATTTTGTACAAAGCTTTTACATTTTTAACTGGTTTTGCTATGCCTGAACTTTAAAACATCTCTTCCTGTTTCCATTCTCTCAGAATCCAAAATATTGTTTAAGTAGTGGTGGGAAAAACAGGAAAGAGGAAACATCTTACACATATGCATATGATACTACATCCACATGCATATTTGTACAGATACACAAACACGATCTACATTCAAATAGCTTTTGATTCCTTTGATGAAAAAACTACATCTTCAAAACCAGCTTCAGATCTTAATCTCCAACTCTGAAGAAATTTGATCCCTTTAACAAAGGGATCAAGAGAACTACTCAAAAATCTTATTTACATTTTGTAAATGATTTTAAGATGCACGGTTCCCTAGATGCACATATATACCTATCTAGCTGTCCTGATTGTTTTAATGATACACATAGTGAAAATCTTCTCCCCTTAAATGAAGGGATAGAACACTTCTGATGCTAGATAAGAGGCAAAAAAATGATGCTATTAGTGACAACTGGCTTCACAGGTCTCACAAGGTTTTTAATTACCTTCAGTTTGAATTAATTGCATACAGCACACCTGTTCTTTCCCTTACAAAAACCCCAACAAGATAAAAGACAAAAAACATCTGTTCTGTATTATTTATGAGAAACCCACGGCATAATTTGCTCTGTAGGAAGACATTTCAGAAACAGAAAAATATAATAAAAGCACTTAAAATGTGAAAGCCTTCATGCACTCTTTAATTTAGCAATGCATAAAATTGTTTGTTTTCATTCAGTCAACTTACAAAATCTGAAGAGATAAACTAAACCACAGTGGGTTGAAAAGCAAAAGTTTTCTTTTAAACTTTTTATCCTTCATGTTTGAAGAAGAAAAACATCTAAAAAACAAAGGATTGAAAGAATATGGCAAGTAACTAAAATGTTAAGCTACAGCTTCATACACAAAAATAGCATAACCGTCTACTTACGGTCTAGTGGAGGTCTCACATTGTAAAAGTTGATGTTCTCAGCTGAAACCCAATTTCCTGAAAGGATGAGGAATGGAAGAAAGGCTCCGGCCAGCATGTGATAGAATAAAAACATGCTGAGTATTATTGTACATGAAAAGCAAAACAGGCCTAGGACAGAAGAGGAATACATTATTTAGGGGGAATCATAAAGAACTGAGCATGTAGAACAATAAATTTCCTGTGAACTACTCCTGAAACCTTGAAAATTCAGTCCGTAGATCTATACTGTGAAGACGGCTAATGCAAGCAAGCATGCAATGATGAACAATGCAAAGCTGAGCAGTTACTGCCTTCTGCTGGCCAGGATCCTGTACAGAGCACTTAAATTCCCACAAACTTGAAAAAGTTAACATTATTTCTTTAATCTATTTGTCCTTCTAAGCAATGTCAATTTTATAGCTTCCTTGTAAGCATTCCTAAAAATCAACACCAAAACTGAGCTCCTTTATATCCTACCTGAAAGGGACAGGATTAAAATATCATTAAAGGAAGCAAAATGCAGACAAACATCATTTTTAACACCAACAGCCTAGAATCCAAGACCAATTCCTTATCCGTTATAGATCAGTGTATGTCTGTTGACTTCAGATAAGCTACACCATCTGAATTGTGAGTGCGCTTACTGGTGGCACAGCATTAAAGATCAAGAGTGTAAATTAGATTTATTTCTTTTTCAAGTGTATACTGAGGAAATGCTGAGAAAGATGCCTGGTGATGGTACACAAGTTTTGGAGAATTGCAAAGTAGAATGTTAAGAGAGATGAGATCCATGTTTTGGTCGTGCTTTGCACATTTATTTGGGGCTCCCTAGGTGCTTTGGTAAGGATTTATAAAGGAGAAGAACTAATCAATGAACATTGTGGTCAGTTTGATATTCAGATGTACACATATACATAGATACACACAGGTATGTATGGCGAATTGCAGTGATACTGGAGACCTCGTTCAGGTATTAAAAAGCAGAATCAGCTCCAATGGCACTCTGCCCTTGCAAATTCCCAGCAGGAGAAACAAGCTTGAGTGGAGGCTCCCGCCAAACCAGAGACGTTGCTCTGAGCTGCCAAGTGCATTCATTCAGAAATCGCTCTGCACACCTCTGTGTAGACGTACATGACGCTGGTGCAGGAAGCTCCAAATGCATCCAAGCACTGAACTTTTCTGAAAACGGAACTCAAGACCATGGCAGAGAAGTCAAAGGATTTCCTTCTTTTTCCTGTTGTTTTTGTTGTGGTGGTGGTTTTTGTTTTTGTTTCTTCCAATTGACACAGGAATTATTTGAAAAATGGCTTTGTCAACAAACCCGTCAACAGAAAGTTCAACTTTGTGCACTGGGAGTTTAGCCATCCCACTCAAGATTTGTTTTTTAAATCATGGCTTTATGAATATATTTCAGTAGACACCGAGAAAGCCACAGCATACCTCTACCTGCAGCGCACCTCCAAGACTATTTCCTGTGGATGGTCCAGCTTTCTACCGACTATAGCCCAGGATCTAAAGAAGGATTAAGAAGAATCAGTGCAAAACAAACAGCAAGTGCTCATCATAAATCTGTCTTGAAGGAACTCATTAGGCGAAACACTGTATGTCCTTACTTATACTGAAAATTAAAATAGAAAGCTAGAAGTTTGGTGGTTTTAGTAACAAAATATCCAAAGAAGTACCACGCTACACAGTGTGGCTCTGCCTCACTGAGTGCTATTCTATTGCAGAAACACAGATTCCCTCCTTCCTGCGATTCATCTGTCTTTTATGACACAAAAAGTGAAGCAATGAGACTCCTCAGTCCTTCCATGAGGATGAGTTTATTTCTCTTGCATTGCCTGAAAAACATTAGTCAGGCAATGACCTGGGCGGGACCAGACCATACCAGATGAATATGTATTTCACACTCCAGACATATCCAAACTTTCAACACATGCTGTGACCAAAATAGAAGCACTAATCAGCAGGAGGGTAACTTAAAAGAGCAAAGACAATCCTCAGGCTCCAGATTAGAGGTTACTAGCACACCGTGAAGTAAACAGGTCACCCACAGTTCATTCCTTAACTGAAACACAACAATATCGGTCAAATCACTGCAAAAAGCAAAATAAATCTAAACCATAGTCACCGTTCTCCCCAGTTCAGCGCTCAATATTTGCAGTGATATTCCGCAGCATTAAATATGGGCTGTTCATAACCCACTTGTCTCACTAACACATACTCGAGGTGCACATTTCAAATGTACACTTAGTTTTAGTGGGGTTTTTTAATTTGTTGAGAGGCAAACCTGTGCATCATGACTGGATGCTTTTCCGCTGACAAGTCAACCCACATCATGGTCTGTCACTGAGCTGTTGCCTCCAAAGCCTATTTCATGATCCTTTAACATTTTCCAAGACACATCAGCAGAATGTGATGTTATCCAGTGTATAGGAGAAAGGGAAAAGAGGAGACAGTGTTGCTACTATGATCATGAATGATCCAACGTAGTATCCAACTTAGTTCCTCCTTCCTCTAGCATTCTTAGCTCTACCAGTTTATGTTGGAGACATCTCTTCCTCAAGTTCATTTTGTTTTACACAGTTCACTTTAAGTTAGTGCCTAAACCCCATCCTTTATAATCCATATTGAAGATTCTTCAAATCTATTTTTACTCACAAAATAACCTTTTATTCCACTGTTAAGAGGTGACAGAATTTCTATTCCAGCTGACAAATTTCTGCTTTTCTTCACAGATAATAATGCCCCATATTATTCCATTCTACTCTTCTGCTTTAAGGTATTTTGGAGCAGGTTCCCATGATCTAATCAAGAGAAGGAAGCACCACAGTGCACCAAACTCCTTTGCTAATACCATAACTATTATTCGGAATAAGTTGAAGAGTTAAAGTCGATGTAACAACAAAATATCATAGGTACTGGAAGCAAAATACATTAGCATGATTTCTATAAAATTATACTTTCCACAAAAATAGCCAATCTGAGAAAAAATTAACAGCTGAAGATGCACAAAGATTAATTTAAAACTAACTCTGTGTTTCTCACACAGGGGACAATTCTTACATGGTGATTTAAAAACAAAAATACCCCCAAAGCACAGAATATGGAACTCAATTATGCACAATTGAATTAACCAGCTCTCTGGTAATGTCCCCTTTTTCTGACGTGGAAGACACATCTCTCCTGTCACTCTATTTACAGGTTGTCCTTTCCTATTCTTTCCCATAGGTATCTCCTGTCATCCATTAGTGGAGTCCAAATACTGAATGAGATGCTTGGTCTGACTCAGTACAGCCCCTCATTCTTACATTCATCCCATTTATCCCCCCAGTCTGCAGAAAGAGGTTAAAGCTACCTTGAAGAGCAAGGTGGAATTTTACTGTGCTGAGCCACGTTTCCCTACCTCCCCCTGCTCAGCCTTTTCACTCGGAGGAAGAGAGAGGCAAGGGGATGGCCCAGGCAGTAACACTGCACTAAAACACGCTTGTTTGGAAGCTCCTCTTACCTGTGCCAGGTAAACTGGTCCCCAAGCCCTGGGAGGGAGTGACACAGCCACCTTTTGGTACCATCACCATCTCTGCATCCTTTGCTAGGGCACCATAAAGTGTCTTTACATGCAGAGTAAGTACTAGCTCAAAATCAGAAACGCTACATATTTAATTTTATTAAAATAAATTACAAAACAAACAAACTAAAAGAAGTACAGAAACTGGTGCCAATGTGTGGAGCTCAAAAGACAGTAACTTAAGTACAAGTAGGTACCGATTTTCAGAGCCACGCATTCCTGATCCTAATTACCTCGCTCTTGTGCCCCTGGACAAGCAGGGATCCAGCTTTCACTTCTCCAGCATGGCAGTATCAGGCCCTCAGTGCACACAGGCTGCTTGGGCACTGTTGGTAAGAGTACGAGAAGAATCTTTTTTTGTGCCTCTAGTGCCAACATCCTTCTTCACCGTTTCCTTGCCAAATAGCTCTATTGATGCCCTTTGAATAGCACAAGCAAGTTGCTTGTAAATTGGCAAGCCAGTTTTAATCAAATGTATTTCGGGCAACTCAGTAACATTTAATTCTCTCAACTTTACTCTGTGGGAAGATAGGGTATTGAATAATTTCAGTGCATAATGGCTGCAAAATTTATCTCCTTAACATACATCTTCTGCTGTTTCTACTAGGTTGAGGAAAATTTGCCTTTATGGGGAGACTGGTCTGTAACTTGATCTGATGCACCTGGATAGCAAATAAAAGACACAATTACACTTGTGCCAGCTTTCTACAAATTCAAGCTTTCTGCTCCCTTCCCCCCATGTTCCTATTGCTTTCCCCAGAAAAGCTCATGCCAAATGGAAAATTTTAGAGAACATAAATACAAAAAAGCTAGTCTTCAGTTGGTGTCAAGCACAGTAAATTGACCTCACAAGGTGCCGTAGTCAAAGGTGTCCCTGTTTGCTAACCAGGCCAATAAATAATGGATGTCATTTGACATAGTCTTAGCTACACAGCTGCATCAGAAGTCACTCTCAAGTAAAATACGAAAATATTGGCAAAAAATGACTTTCATATCTTATCCAAAATCTTTAAAATGCTTATTTTCTTCACAGTCTCTTATCTCTGTTGTGCTTTCATATAATATTATCTAGTAGCATGAGTAAGCATTTCATTATATCCAATTAGGAACTCTCATTAATGAAGGAAAAAACTGTCACAATACAAAAGATTGACTTATATAAACAAGAGCCAAGGTGGAGACATAGATTTCCTGGGGTTAGGGAAGAAAACCCAAGAGGGAAGGGCTGTTAATGTATGCTCTGTAAAGAACCTGTGACTAAAGCACATTTCAAGAAAACAGTGAGGAATACAATGGCTGAAATAATTAATATATTCCAGGAGGTTTTACGGTTTATCTTGCAGTGTATAATAGAAGAGCAGGAAGCAGTGTGCTTGATTCCTGATTTTAATAAAATTCAAGTCTGTCTACATTGTTTTTCCTGGCAGACTCTGTGGAGGATTAGCAGATTTAACATCAGATAGGGAACGCAAATGAAACTTCCTCCTGTCATTTAGTAAGCAATTTTCAGGTGCTATTAGATAATTGCAAATGCTTATGTTAAGCTTGTTAAATACCACTTCAGGACATAAGAGTTAGAAATACATAGGCAGAAAGGTATGTATGTTAAGGACTGAAAAAGTTAAAACTAACACCTGACATCATCAGGTGTTCCCTACCACAAATCAGAAAGGACAAAACTGATACTTCAACTTATCTAAAAGGACAAAAATAGCTCCTTGGCTTCCCCATTTCTTAGACAAACACTGCTATTCTCATGTTTTCCTCTGGAGACCATTTAATTTGATCTGTAAGCCACCATTTACCCCTCTTCAAAACTCATGGAGTGAATAAGTAGATGGAACGACTAAGAGAAGACCTTAATTTTCTTTGGGAAATAGGCAGAGCACATTTAAAACAAAAACAGGGAAAAGATAAAGTATTTTGAGGGATTAAAAAACCCCAAAATACTATTACAGATATGCAAATTAAAACTATTTGTTTTACAAGTTCTACCTTTTCTTACCTACTGAACTGAAGTCTCTATTTTCCGATTTTTTTTTTTTTTTGCCTTACAGCTTGTTAACATTGGTATAGAATAACACAGGAAAACAGATTTTACATTACACTCCTGGACATCTGCAACTAGTAACACTGACAGAATAAAATTTCAGTTATCACATTCTTTGTAAACAAAACACATTTTTTTATCTTCACCACAGCACACTTAACCATGCCTAGAATTAAATTTGGTCTTAATTACAAGAAATTAAAGTGCTCTTTATCAAAGATCTTATAAAAGTAAAACATGTACATTTCTGGTAATGACAACATCATTTAGCTTGGGGTGTAATGCTGGCATGGGAACTTGTGTTGCAAACTGATTGCGAGACATGGAGGTGTCTGACTACACAATACATACAACTGCAATCATTTTGAAAAAAAATAATGTATGATTAATGTGATAAATCTGAGCAGTACCACTGAAGTGAAGTATTTGCAAGGATTAAACATGTATTTCTTTTTAAGCTCATACAAAAAAGATCCATGGAATGAAAACTGCATTACATCTCATTCCTTTCACAGCCAAAACTGCTCAGCAAAAATTAGTCCCAAGCACTGACATTTATTTTAAAATTCAGAATCCCTGATCATCTTTGGAAGATAATTTATTCTACCTGTAAGTTCATTAATGAGAGATAAATTTCTTATTCCCTTTTGCAAATATATAATTTCCCCAAAGAACTGCACTTTGTCAAAGCTATGGATGACCAAGTTTTACACTTCAGCTTGTAACAGCTTCAACATATCACATATGTAACTCTTTTAAAACTCTCTCTCTCACCTGTGCAAGAGTGAAAATAGGAACTTAATATTACTCCAGAGAAAAGAGATTATAGGAATAAGGAGTGTTTTCTTTCCTTAAACTCATCAGAGCACTTCTGTAAAAATCAGTTTAACGAGA